AAAAAAATGCTCTCTCCTAATTTTTAAGTAAATTATACGCCCAATTCTTACCTACGCTTGCCCGGTATGGGGTAATTGTGCATCCTCGCACATTAAAAAAATGCAAATTGTCCAAAACAAAGTCCTTAGAATAATTGCAAATGTTCCGTGGTTTGTCAGAAATTCAAATCTGCTATTGATACTTTGAATAAACTATCCGTTGATTTTTTTCCAAATATATGGTGTTTAATGTCAATATTAGTAACTTTACCAGTCTCAACAGCGTCATCAGAAAGATCGTTTTCGATATTGAAAAGATTGAAGTCGTGCTTGAGAAATAGTACAAGCGAAAATCGACTAACAGGATTATCTCATGTCAATTCATCGAAGTATTTCAATAAACACTGAAGAAGTGATAAATAATTTTGCAAATCTACCTCGAAAATTAGACTTTGTCCTGTAATTAAATTTATGTATTCTATTTTTCAGTTATTAAAAATAAGTTAATTTATAACCTTAATTTAGTATATATTTTTTCATAACACCCCCCCCCCCCCCCGAAATTAATTCCTATATACGCCACTGATCCTGACTGAATATGAATAAATAAAGGAAAATATACATTGAAAAAAAATCGATCGTTTTACATAGAGATAATTTATTTAAATAGGAGAGATTTTATAAAATGAGTTGAGTTATTATTAGACATATATATGTTAAGATATTTTTTAGTTATAATTTATTATCATCCAAAATGTTTTGATATAAGATATTATTTTTAAAATAAGTTTAAACATTTAAAATAGTATTAAAATTATTTTTCTTTTTCCATTTGGTATGGGTAACTACTTTGAAGCTGAATTAATGTAAATGTTATTTTAGGTATGTAATAATTCTAAATCTGTATTTATAGACTCTAAAGTCTCAATTTTTTAACTTCCTGATTTACCTGTTCAAGAAATTTTAATTTGAAACCGCTCGTACTTAAAAATTAGAATAATAACACAGCTGAGTATTTATTTACTTATATATAAATATAAGTATATATTTATTTATATCTAAAAACTATTTTTTTTATTTTTTTTTGTATAATAATAATAATATGTCGTATTGTTTTTTTTATAATTTTATAAAAATATTTTTCTTGTTTTTTGCTCTCAAATGAAGTTTTATATCCTTTCTACCTTAAATTTTGCATTCTCCTTGTCGAAATAGAATTTACTAAATTAATTAAGTCATGGAAGCCTTAAAAATACATACCTTATTATTAAATTAAAATATTTTGATTTATAATTTTAATTGCATAATACACAATAATATTAAATATTTTATTTATACTTAAAATATAAAAACATTTTTAATATAAAAATAATAGTAAATCATTTTATATGTTTACTTGTTCCAATTAAACACCATCAAGCATTTTACAATATGAATAACTTACAAAAAGCTTCCTTATATATTTTCCAGTTAGCTCGTTTGAAAATCGTGTACTAGACTCCTTGCTTGTTTCGTTTTATGATAGTGTCGGATGAAAAGAATAAACTACGAACACATTTTTCATCACATTTTAAGCATAACTTACGTTCGCTCTTTTAACGATATTTGTTTCGCATCATACACCTAAGAAGAAGTAAATTATGCTTAGTTTTTCGACACGGGCTCTTTTTCTCTGAAAATGGTAATCGAATGTGCGCCGAATCCATATAAATAATCGTAGCATGTGCACCAAATCGATAAACTAGATGAAAGCAATTAATTGCCTCTATTGATTGATAGTTACGGAAAAATGTAGTTCTTTAGAACCACTAATCTCGCAAAATAGGTTTACCTTACTTTTAATTTTCCAAAAAAAGTAATTATGAACTATAACTTCTCTCTATCTCAAAAAAAAAAAAAAGTATCTCACACCAGGGACTGAAACCGTATCTAAAAGAACCGTTTTTGGAACCAGAACTCTTTGAATATTGGGAACCAGCACCTCACCGAAACACTAATTTAAATAACTTTAAAACCGGAACCCCACCGGAACCTTTATTTTTATTTATTTATAAAATCGGAATCTCACCGAAACCGATAATTTCTTGTAAAGGTGTTTTGCGGTTAATTTTGGTATTGTTATAATTGCATTATTTTTATTTATATCTATCATTAAAAGGTAATAAGAACTACACAAATACGTAGATCTATTAATATTATTATTGGGATTAATAATATTCAAAAATAATCAAGCAAGTATTAATAGAGTTTAGACGTGTCATTAAACTATAAAAGTATACAATAGTTCTATGTAATAACTGATAATAATGTAATACTGTAATTGCAATAAAATTAGTCATTATTTACTGCGTATGAATTTTCTAATTCTCATAATAACGAGAAATTCTAAAATTATGTCTATAAATAACTTTTTTGTAGGCATATTATGATTGTCACTATCGTTATCTAATTTACAGCACGCCTGAGCTATATTTTAAAAATGTCATTACTGAATAATGATATAACAAGTAGTAATTAACAAATCATGAAACGATATTTGAAACAGGGTAGTCGTGACAGTTTTGAGTACACTTTTACTTAATTAGTCCTAAGTCCACTTCAGTGATGGTAGGATATCTGGTTGAAAATTGGCATCAACCACCATAATTGACGTTAACTAACAATAGTAATATTTTTATAAAAATCAAAACAGAAGCAAATTTTTCTCACATTAGTATAATATCAGACTTGAAACTAATTTTTCATTTTTACGAATCGAAAATAAACCGAAACCTACATTTTTGTTATTTTAATAATCAAACCGAAATTTTAGTTTTTTTTTAAACCCAAAAAGAAATCGAAACCCAAATTTTAGTTATTTTAGAATCGGCATCAAAACCGGAATCGATATTTTTTTTTTCTAGAAACCGAACCGGAACTAGAACTGCACAATTCATCAAGGTTTCGGTCCCTGTCTCATACTTTCAAATCCAATCAAACCCTCTCAGAATATGAATTTCTACCGAATAGTTCTACAAGTAGTTTTATTCCCTCCATAACTTCATACTGCCTTGGATAAGACCACAATTCACCAAACTTATGAAAAGTTCTTTTTAATAAAGTACGTAATTGTAACCATACACGTGAATTATTTATAGAAAGTCAGTATATTATTTTCTCTGCCTTAAATAACAAAAAAAAAATATAACGTTTAGCATATTAAATGTACTTGAAAGATTAAAATTGAAAATCGTTTAAATTTTAAGGTAGATAAAATTGGGTTAAATTATAGAATAATTGTTTTAGTAAAAGAAATATTACATAAAATATAATATAAATAAGATATAAAAGAGAGTTTTTTTTTTTTTTTTTTAATCGACGTATTAACGTAAAATTATGAATATATGTATAAAGTTTCTTTGTTATGTACTACTATTCGAAAACCCAAGCTCAATAGTTGAACAATACAGTAATAAAACAAAAAAAGTTTAAACGAAGAACAAAAACCTATTTAGATTTACTAGATTGTTATTTTTTGGGATCAAGTAATTTGGTAAATCTATGTTGGTATAGTAGCTATCATAATAATATTCAACTATTTCAAATTAAAACGCAAAGAACGTTCAAAATGTATGTTTCAAACTTACTTATCTGTACAATATTATAAGTTATAATTTATAACTCTCCTTTATTGGCGAGTTTAGTTGTAGGAACAAGAAGAATCCTTTAGAACACATTTACGATATTAAAAAACATAAATTTCCAGAAAATAAAACATTGTTAAAATGATTTTTAGGTTTGTGGAAATGGCCAGAAAAATTCAACACCAAGATAAATTAATAATGTGTAAATTAGTTGACAAACAATTATTTCCGTTACTCAATGCTAATGTTATACTAATAGATGTTTACCAACTTTACAACCGTGACAATATTTATAAAATTTCGGTCGTATTACTGACTAAACCATTAAACCGTTTCACGAGTCAACAATATTTTTTTTCGAATCGGTTTAAAATTATAAGTTTTAAGTTTAAGTTTAAGTATATGCACCCAGTATATACTCGCATGACGTTTCAAAAAAAAATCTCGTGAGTATTCAGAGTAAAATATGTAATTTTCTTTATAGTCCCTACGGGTACTCCGATTATTATCTTACATTAACAATTTGCTCAAGAATCCAATTTTTAGTAATATATTCCTTTCCATCCATTCACACATAACTTTTCAGTATTTCTATTTTCATTATTTACGATTTACGTTGATGCATTGATCTTACAAATGTTCGTTATTTAAAAATAAGGCTGCGGGGTGCCATACGACTACTTACCTTTTACTACCGAAATGGCGTCACTGCTACTGATCAAAGCGACCATTTACACATGTTTCTGAAAGAAAAGAATTATATGTACCTATTTTGTTTTTAAATATGATGTATTTCAATTTGGGATTTGGAAATAGTTATGAATGCCCTCCTTCTGCTTCTCGCTCGAATTACGCTCGTATGCTCAAAAAATGATTGGTTATTTTCAATGTAAAATTACGTTAGTGAAACGGATATGATTTTAAGCCTATCATACGTCGGTTTTATAACCACATATTTTTTTTTCGCAAAAGCTTTACCAATCATTTTTCATGATATAAATTTCAAAAATTGTTTGGGTTGATACGTGTTTTTCATTTAAAACAACGTAATCCCTTCGGATAGAAGTATAATAAATTATATTTATTTCAATTATTCTAATTAACGAAACCTGAATGTTGTTGACTTAAAAAAGATTTTACTTGGACTAAATAATGCAAAAAATATCATTAGAAATGTTTTCTTTATTTGATGCATACATTTATTTTTAATTGTCAACATTATTTTAATCACAAATATTATATTTATTGCCAACTTAAATATGAGAAATTAAATTAAATTCTACCACATTTTTCATACCTTTAGTGAATTTAGGAAATTAAGTAAGATGTAATAAAATTGCAACAATGGTTTATGATTTTATTTATACTATACACTTAGCTGTTAAAAATAGCGAATTTTTGTAGTTTTTCTTATCTTATTAATTGATATTTGATACACAAAAGAATGTAAAATATGAAAAAAGAAAACTGTTGCATATTTTTTTCACAAGTTAACTGTTTCAATAATCGTAATGCAAGTTCACTGATGGAATAAGTTGAAAGCAATATGAGATTTGATTATATTCAATCGTACGTGAAGAAAAACGCTTCGGAGGTAGGTAAGAGTATAATATTGGGCTAGGGTAATGTTACCGATTTTTAAGGCTGAAACATGTTTTTTTAAATATGTTGTCTCGATCTGTCCCTTATACCAACTGTATCGGGTGTTACGTTAGACGTTATCATTCTAGAAGATTGACCATAACATTAAAACATAGTGGATAAATAACTTCTTTGATCACGCCCGACCCTAAGTACTTGCACGTGCACGAACGACGTTTCAGTAATATGAGGATCCTGATATGAATAGGAAGATTAAATATAACCTTGTTAAATTTATTTTACGAATATTGTAACAATTTTTTATTTATATATATAAAGGTTTTACGATATAAAATCAACTAATAATTTATGTACTACAATAAGTGTTAATATCGATAAATCTTTAATCAAAATTCTTCGGTCTATTAGTTTGTATTATATTTTTACGATATATTTCTATCCGTATTTATATATTTATTTAGATTTATAATCGAACTAATAATAATACTAACTATAAACTATAAACTAATAATCGAATTAATAATAGATTAAATAACTCCATTATACTATGGCTTATTTTTTTATTTTTTCAAAAAATTTTTAAAGTTAAAATAATAACAATTTTCTCGAATATTATTAAGTATTTTGCATTGGAATTTCTCGAGTTGAAATCTTTATTATTTGTGAAATAATAATTTTTTCAATTCGTGATTTCAAATTAATATAATATTTACAGTAAATTAAAATCCGTTTCCAGCTTACAAATATTATTTAGGATTATACCGCATTTCGCGTCGTGTGTAATGCGATTATACTAAAATGATATAAAAATATAGTTTGTTACTCGTATATTTTTTTATTACGACAAAATACACATTTTACGACAATTTGTTCGGGCAATTTGCGGTTATTGTAAAAACCGTCGTTGCCGACACTATTATATTGCAGACGGCCATACTATTATAAATCTGCTTAGTATGAGATGGAAATTGAGGCTGGTGGCCGAGGATTATTATGCTCCATTCATTTTAATTTATAATTTATTTATTGTTCTAGCGTAAAAAAAAAAAAGTCCCAAATCTCGGTGCACATCGTTCCGGAAATTCCCTCACGTGGATAGCTGTCGTACCGTTCTTACATTATTGTACTACGTTTGTCGTGTTAACAGTCATTACGTACAAATACTAAAAATTCATTCGTTTAATCCAGTAGATATTTCCATTTAAAAACTAAAAATTAATACCGTAATGATACATAGAAATTTGTTTGTGATACCGGATGTTGGTAAAAACCTCGCGGGTATATTTGTGACATGAGACCTCAAGGCAATGACATATTTTAAAATCGTTATTTGTAACATTTGGTCGATCAACAATCATGATTCTTTGAAACCCAGAAAGTCGTCTGGACGATCACGTGTCCTTGGCTAAACATTCATTTAATATTTTGTTAAAACTATATAGTTCATCAATTTACAGTGGCCTGATACTCTGCACTCTTTTGCGGAACGTTTTTGTCAATCGGTAATGTTTTCAAAATTGATTTATTTTCAACAGTTAAGTGTAACAAATAAATTTGGTATTGGGAGCAGAATATCGGTAGAAATGGGGGGAAATTATCGCCAATGGAAAATTTTTTCTAAAAAATAATTCGTTCCTAATATTTGTAGGAATATACGAATATATGCATAATATATGCATACGAATGGAGCAGCATGTAATATATATATATATATGCTCTATTTTCGATGCTAATGTCAGACCAGATTTCAATTGCGTGAATAATAAAATAATAAAAAAAAAAATTTCTAATAAATTGACCGTTTGATCATTTAAACTTAAACTCAAAATCAGGTAGAGAGTGAAACCTAAAATTTATGTTCATCAACATTGTATTAAATCAATAAGATTTTTTTTTTTTTTTGTGTTCATAAATGTTTTGAAACCGTTGGAAGTATTTATTCTTTTAAGTGTTTTTGAATTTTCATCATATTAATCTAATTAATTTCCTTGAAATTACGCGAGTATTGGAATAATAACTATTTTACATAGTCCAAAATAAGTACGTTCGAATAATTTATAATTTACAAAACATCCGTCACTTAGATAAAACGACTGTACAGGGGGATTCACTTCGAACTGTGCAACGAGCCCACCTTTGTCTGTTACTATGACAGAGTGAGGCAACTGAAAAACTATCCGATCCCCGTCATAAAGTTATGCAATAGTATCGCGTTCGTTTGTGTGTTGTGTGTTTTGAGTACATTTGCAACACACCGACATCCGATGTAATATTGGTTTTGTTAAAAAAAATGTTAAACGGTATTCACACGTTGAAGATACATAATGAATTATTCCTTTTACGCTGAAGTGGTGCAGTTACAACACGTATGAGATCGCATTCCTGAAAATTCATTTAAATCATGTATAAAAACATAGTATAGGTACAAGGTATAAAAACATGTGATTTTCTTCAAATGTTTTTGTTATACAATTATGTTAGATGATTTTAAATTTATTTTAATACAATTTTACTATGGTAATTTTCTTGCTTTTGTAGAGGTAAATTTATCAAATGAAATTGTTTTAACTACATCTTTTTCATATATTTCGTGAAAAATATTACATGAGTATTGCTGAAATTTGCGCCCCTGGCCCATACCTTCTTGCCCTGCATTGAATACGGCCCTGGTTATAGTGTAGGCCTAGATATTATGAATTTTTTGCGTTTTATATAGTTAATATATATATGCGTATAAGAGTTATAGCGGTCATCTTACCTATGCGTTTGTTACGTATTAGCATTTGATTGTTTAAGAATACTTTATAAATGTATTATGCAGGCACTATGAAATAAAAAAAATAAATAATCAAATAATATATCTAATGTACTTACATACAGTGCTCGTCACGGGAAATTAAATTAATATTTTATTTGATTACCACTCGTAAATTATATACGAACGAAACTAAAATTTCTGGATGAATATTATACCTAGAAACGAATCTCGTTTATTACTGTTATTTTGTAACAAACTTATACTTTTGTAATTCAATTTCTCTATTGATAATAATATGTAATGTCGAAACAGTGAAAAGCAATTTAACTTTATGTTACACGTCACACGTCCTATATGTTGTTTTAATGTAACGATGTTCGTAATGTATTCGATTCGGTTCGAACATAATATGAGTGGATGTGATAAAAACCTGCGAATAGTATATAAAAGTACTCTTATTAGTAAATACTATTTTATATTTTCTGTATTAAACGCAAAAAAAAAAAAAAAAACAGTTTCACAAAATGTTTATTGAATTTTTATCGTATTCCGTACAATTAGTTAGCGGTGGCGTTTGAATGAAGGTGTCTATTAAAAATTTAATTCAAGAAAAAAAAATATTAAACATTTAACGATTGAAATCGCCATTAAAATATATAAAAATAAGACTGGCTTAATATTCATATAACTTGTTAGGAATTATGTATCAACATTTTTAGACACAACCACGCATGTCACATTTCGCAACTCCCTAACCCGTGGAAAAAAATCAGAAACGATTTCATAACTTTCCCAATGACAATATTCAGTACCAAATTAGCATTACGCATTCGAACAGTAATGATCGAAATCGGCAATTTATTCCCTTACTAGTAAAACGATTTTACCGAATGCCTGATTCCAGTGGCGTAGCCAGGATTTTTAAATGGAGGGGGGGCTAACCACTTTTTTTTGATAAGTAAGGTAAGAGAGGATATGAGAATTCACCCTTAACCCCCCCCCCACCATCTATCACTAAGTTTCTAAACGTAATTCAAGCATTTTAGTATAGTTTTAAAAATATTTATTAATATATAATTTATAATAATAATAATAATTTTGGTTTCAGTGTTCAGTCACTTGCTCCACTCTGACAGCTGCATTCTCTTAGGCGAATTTCTGGCAAATTCAGTTATTATTTCACTTTCATCGAATTGCTCTTTTTTATTTATATTAGCCATAGCTAACCCATTCAGTCTGTTTTCCGACATGGTGCTTCTTAAAAAAATTTTTAAGCGATTAAGTGCTGAAAACGTTCTTTCCGGAGTGAAAGAGGTAACTGGTAACGTGGCGAATAATTGTAAAAGTATTTTAATGTTAGGTCGAAGATTGGTGCGATGAGAG